TTATTATTATTATTATTATTATTATTATTATTATTATTATTATTATTATTATTATTATTATTATTATTATTATTATTATTATTATTATTATTATTATATCAGAAGGGAGGAAAGGAGGGAGGGAGGGATAGGGTAAGGTAAGGTAAGGTAAGGTAAGGGCTTGCTGTGCAGAATTAATCAAAGTGAGTCCCCAGGAGGAGAAATGGGGAGGAGGAGAACAGGGACCTCCAATTACAGCCAGCCGGAGGGTCATCTCGTTCCCCAAAATGATGAAACTGGGTGATTTTTCTTGGGGGGGGGGTGGCGGGGGAAACCTAAGCAGGATGGAGAAAAATCAGCATGAAGAAACGAGAGAGAAAAAAATAAACGAGAAAAAAGAAGCAAAAAGGAGGAATGTTTGGGGAGAAAAAACAGGGACTAGAAACTTGAGATCCAAATAAGCGAGAACCCCCACCCCCAGGGTCTAAAACACGTTGTGCTTTCCTGCCTTGGGCAACCGGCCCACGTAGAGCCTCCATGCTCAGGTACAGCTTCAGGCCACAAGCTGAGAAAGCGCCAGAGGAGGGTAGCCGACAGGTAAATTAAATTCGTGCGGGACAGAGAGAATAAATTCCCTCAATCTGCTTAATCTCCATTTAATTGATCTGACGGCTGATGAAGCAGGAAGAAGGGGCAGGAAAGCGGCCCTCGGAAATTAACTCTCATGAGGCTAATCTTTTTAAAACGGACAAGCTCAGGAGCTAAATCTTGCTGGGGGGGGGGTGAGAGAGATTTAGTTGCCCCCGCCAAGCATCCAGGTAATAAAAGTTAAGCAGACAGGTATATGGGATAGACCTGGAAGACCTACCTGTCTGCCTTCGCTGACAATCAGGGAAAGAAAACAGGAGAAGGAAGGTAAGAATCAAACATACGAAGAACGGCTGCAGGACTTGGGTCTAGCTAGTCTAAAGAAAAGAAGAAATAGGGGGGACAGGATAGCAGTCTTCCAGTATCTCAGGGGTTGCCCCAAAGAAGAGGGAGTCAAGCTATTCTCCAAAGCCCCTGAAGGCAGGACAAGAAGCAACGGAGGGAAACTCATCAAGGAGAGAAGCAACCTAGAACGAAGGAGAAACTTCCTGACAATTAGAACAATTAACCTGTGGAACAGCTTCCCTCCAGAAGTCGTGGGCGCTCCATCAATGGAGATTTTTAAGAAGAGACTGGACATTCACCTGTCTGAGACGGTATAGGTTCTCCTGCTTGAGCAGAGGGCTGGACTAGAAGACCTCCAAGGTCCCTTCCAGCTTTATTCTATTCTTGTTAGGGCCACAGAGAGCCAGGAATGGTTGATTGTCCACTTAAATAAGGAGGACGACCTTGGTCAGAACCTGGCACAGAAGTAAGTGGAGTCCTTGATGGGAAATGGGGTCCTTGATGAACAACCAAGCTCGGAGAGCACCAAGGACCCCAAAAGTTCAACCCTGAGCTACCACGATTCTCTTTGAAAGAAGGAAGTCATTGAATCAGAAGCTTCTTAGAAGGCCAAACGAGGCCACCAAGAAGCCCAAAACCCAAGAAAAGGTGCCTTGAAGTTTTGGGGAGGGAGGTGGCACCAGGCCTGAAGACCTAACCCCAAGAAGCCCTCAGACCTTCATTTGACATTATCCCTCGAGCAGCCTCTCTTCCTTAAACTGGATTAAAGAGGGAGGGGAGGCCCCTCTCTCCCCCCCTTCCTGAGAATTGACCGCCATCGATCTGCTGCCTGGTTAGTCCGTATTCAGATAACGGCGAGGGAGGAGGGAAGATCAGACCGGAGCTTCTTTCTCACCAGCGACGGGGCTTAGGGATCAATAAACTATTAATAAACTGCAGAAGGTTTTAAGGAGAGATCTGTGTGTAATGCTATTTAGCAGCCGGAGTTTACCAACACTGACAGCTCCTCAGAAGGGTAAGTAATTGCATTATTGTAAGGAGGGGCGGGGGGGGGAAGCGT